TAATGAGAACCTTCAAAACTAGGGAGGCCAAGCCATGATGACACTCTTCAGGTCACTTGTTCTATCTAGGCTGGAATATTGCTGCACACTAACAGCACCTTTCAAGGCAGGTGAAATTGCCGACCTAGAAAATGTACAGAGAACTTTCACGGCGCGCATAACGGAGATAAAACACCTCAATTATTGGGAGCGCTTGAGGTTCCTAAACCTGTATTCCCAGGAACGCAGGAGGGAGAGATACATGATTATATACACCTGGAAAATCCTAGAGGGACTAGTACCGAACTTGCACACGAAAATCACTCACTACGAAAGCAAAAGACTTGGCAGACGATGCACCATCCCCCCAATGAAAAGCAGGGGTGTCACTAGCACGTTAAGAGACTATACAATAAGTGTCAGGGGCCCGAGACTGTTCAACTGCCTCCCAGCACACATAAGGGGGATTACCAACAGACCCCTGGCAGTCTTCAAGCTGGCACTGGACAAGCACCTAAAGTCAGTTCCGGATCAGCCGGGCTGTGGCTCGTACGTTGGTTTGCGTGCAGCCAGCAGCAACAGCCTGGTTGATCAGGCTCTGATCCACCAGGAGGCCTGGTCTCAGACCGGGCCCCGGGGGCGTTGACCCCCGGAACTCTCTCCAGGTAAACTCCAGGTAAACTGTTAGTGTAAGGTAACTACTATCATCACTGCAACACTACTAGTATGAGGTAACTACCACAATCACTATAACACTACTAGTATAAGGTAACTACTATCATCACTGCAACACTACTAGTATAAGGTAACTACCACAATTACTATAACACTACTAGTATAAGGTAACTACTATCATCACTGCAACACTACTAGTATAAGGTAACTACCACAATCACTATAACACTACTAGTATAAGGTAACTACTATCATCACTGCAACACTACTAGTATAAGGTAACTACCACAATCACTATAACACTACTAGTATAAGGTAACTACTATCATCACTGCAACACTACTAGTATAAGGTAACTACCACAATTACTATAACACTACTAGTATAAGGTAACTACTATCATCACTGCAACACTACTAGTATAAGGTAACAACACCAACCATCACTACAACACTACTAATATTTATTGATAAAATAATCTAATAAGGTCAGGAACTATTCAGTTGCTGACTCTCCCAGGGTCCTGGCTGACACCTTTTATTAATGGATAACTTAATGCACTCGTTTCTGTTCTTAGTGACACTCAAGGTTATAGCTTGGAATAAAATCTTATTTTGGGCACTGTATCGTTTACTAATACTGTACAGTGAGGCTCAGTTAGGCCTGAAGTTTGATGGCCCCCCAACCTCCACTAACAGCAGCAATAATAATAATTATCTTTATTTATATAAGTGCAACTTATACAGGCCTAGCTGACATCAAAAAGCCCCATGATATGCTGAGCATTTCAGGTAAATTTGGTTAATTTTGTTCCCAGGATACGACGAACACCAGTTGACTAAGACCCAGGTACCTGTTTATTGCTACATGAACATGGTCAGCAGGTGTCGTAGGGGAACATCGTAATGTTTTCACCCATACCGGGAATCAAACCACAGACCTCAGTGTATGAGATGAGTGTTACCAACCCAGATAAAGGACACCGGGCCGCGGGGGCGTTGACCCCCGGAACTCTCTCCAGGTAAACTCCAGGTAAACAGCATGATATAATGTTTGTACAGAGGTCATTGACATTTAAGTCTGCATGCAGAAATCCCCTTAATATGCAGAGCATTTTGGGTAAACTTAAGCCTATCTTAAGACTAATTAGGCAATAACCAATTGATTGCTTATATGTATACAGTGGACCCCCGCATAACGATGGCATCACATAGCGATTAATCCGCATACCGCTTACTTTAATCGCAAAAATTTTGCCGCGCATACCGATTAAAAACCCGCTCACCGATTTTCGTCCGAGACGCGTCCAATGTGCGCCCTCAGCCAGCCTCACATGTGCCGCCCGTGCCATTGTTTACCAGCCAGCCTCCTCGGTAACATCCAAGCATACACTCGGAATATTTCGTATTATTACAGTGTTTTCGGTGCTGTTTCTGGAAAATAAGTGACCATGGGCCCCAAGAAAGCTTCTAGTCCCAAAACCGTACACCAATAAGGGTGAGAATTCCCATTGAAATGAAGAAAGAGATCATTGATAAGTATGAAAGTGGAGTGCGTATCGCCGACCTAGTCAAGTTGTACAAGAAACCCCAATCAACCATCGCTACTATTGTGGGCACCAGAAAGACAATCAAGGAAGCTGTTCTTGCCAAAGGTTTAACTGTGTTTTCGAAACAAAGATCGCAAGTGATGGAAGATGTTGAGAGACTCTTATTGGTGTGGATAAATGAAAAACAGCTAGCAGGAGATAGCGTCTCTCAAGCGATCATATGTGAAAAGGCTAGGAAGTTGCATGAGGATTTAATTAAAAAAAATGCCTGCAACTAGTGATGATGTGAGTGAATTTAAGGCCAGCAAAGGTTGGTTTGAGAGATTTAAGAAGCGTAGTGGCATCCATAGTGTGATAAGGCATGGTGAGGCTGCCAGTTCGGACCACAAAGCGGCTGAAAAATATGTGCAGGAATTCAAGGAGTACATAGACAGTGAAGGACTGAAACCTGAACAAGTGTTTAATTGTGATGAAACAGGCCTGTTCTGGAAGAAAATGCCAAGCAGGACCTACATTACTCAGGAGGAAAAGGCACTCCCAGGACATAAGCCTATGAAAGACAGGCTTACTCTTCTCATGTGTGCCAATGCTACTGGTGATTGCAAAGTGAAGCCTTTATTAGTGTATCACTCTGAAACTCCCAGAGCGTTCAGGCAAAAGAATGTCCTCAAGGATAATTTTGTGTGTGCTGTGGAGGGCAAACAGTAAGGCATGGGTCACTAGGGACTTTTTCTATAACTGGTTACACCATGCATTTGCCCCCAATGTGAAAGATTACCTAACTGAAAAGAAATTAGAACTTAAGTGCCTCCTGGTGTTAGACAATGCCCCTGGTCATCCTACAGACGTGGCAGAGCGACTTTATGGGGACATGAGCTTCATTAAGGTGAAGTTTTTGCCTCCTAATACCACTCCTCTCCTGCAGCCCATGGACCAGCAGGTTATTGCAAACTTCAAAAACTGTACACAAAAGCTCTGTTTGAAAGGTGCTTTGTAGTGACCTCAGAAACTCAACTGACTCTAAGAGAGTTTTGGAGAGATCACTTTAATATCCTCAATTGTGTAAACCTTATAGGTAAGGCTTGGGGGGGAGTGACTAAGAAGACCTTGAACTCTGCTTGGAAGAAACTGTGGCCAGAATGTGTAGACAAAAGGGATTTTGAAGGGTTTTGAGGCTAATCCTGAGATGATTATGCCACTTGAGGAATCCATTGTGGCATTGGGAAAGTCCTTGGGGTTGGAGGTTAGTGGGGAGGATGTGGAAGAGTTGGTGGAGGAGGACAATGAAGAACTAACCACTGATGAGCTGATAGATCAACTTCAAGAGCAAGAGGCCAGACCTGGGGAAACTGGTTCAGAGGAGGGGAGAGAGAAATTGAAGAAGTTGCCTACTACAAAGATTAAGGAAATCTGTGCAAAGTGGCTTGAAGTGCAAACCTTCATGGATTGAAAATCACCCTCACACAGCTATTGCAAGCCGTGCTGGTGATTATTACACTGACAATGTTGTGAAACACTTTAGGCAAGTCATAAAGGAACGAGAGGTACAGGCCACTATGGACAGATATCTTGTGCGAAAGAAGTCCAGTGACTCTGAAGCTGGCCCTAGTGGCATTAAAAGAAGAAGGGAAGTAACCCCAGAAAAGGACTTGCTACCTCAAGTCCTAATGGAAGGGGATTCCCCTTCTAAACACTAACACTCTCTCTCCCCTCCTCCCATCCCATCAATCATCACCAGATCTTCAATAAAACTAAGTGTCATGTAAGTGTGCATGCCTTTTTCAGTTTGTGTGTATTAAAATTAACATTTCATGTGGTAAAAAAAATTTTTTTTCATACTTTTGGGTGTCTTGCACGGATTAATTTTATTTCCATTATTTCTTATGGGGAAAATTCATTCACATAACGATTATTTCGCATAACAATTACCCCTCTTGCACGGATTAAAATCGTTATCCGGGGGTCCACTGTATACGGTCTAGCGGTAGTTGTAACAATAAATTTAAGAATTACAAGGAACACAAGAGAATAGCGTATTAATATACATGCTATAACATTTATTGAGTTTAATTGTTTTAAAGATTACAGTTTGGATTGTAATTATAGGTAATGAGGATTCTAGCATATTAACATATTTAATATATTTAATAATTGTGAGGATTGCAGATAATTAGAATTTAAGAATATATTGTTTTCCATATACTTGTGACAATGAGAATATGAATAGTACATATATAGTTTTATCAAATTTAGAAGTTGGGCTATATTAATTCAAAATTCAATCACTAGCGCACTCGGCTCACACACTAAGGTCCAGAGTTCAAATTTCCTCCAGTACGGCTGGAAAACATTAGGGACATCTTTCCAGAAGACACCTGCTGTCCCTGTTCACCCATCAGTTTAAAATGGGGTACCTGGGTGTTAGTCGACTGGTGTGGGTTGCATCCTGGGACAAAACTGACTTAACTTCCCTGAAATGCTCAGCATAACAAGTGGCTTTCTATATAGTAGTATGTCACTGATGTCAGCTAGGCCTGTATACCTTGTATATGCACTTGTAGTAAATAAAGATATTATTATTATTATAATTATTATTATTATTATTATTATTAATATTATTATTATTATAATTATTATTATTATTATTATTATTATTATTATTATTATAATTATTATAATTATTATTATTATTATTATTATTATTATTCTTCTTCTTTCAACGTACCAGCCGTATCCCACTGAGGTGGGGTGGCCCAAAAGAAAAAACTGAAGTTTCTCCTTTTAAATTTAGTAATATATACAGGAGAAGGGGTTACTAGCCCCTTGCTCCCATTATTATTATTATTATTATTATTAAAGAAAGCCACTACCATGCCTAGGCATTTTGGGCAGACTAATCCTAATTCTTGCTGACTACTCTATATTGACATAGGTTATGGAGTGCTACATTCTAATATTTATTATTTCACAATATTACAAAAGTTAGGTAATCAAAAATTTTATGATTAATAAGGTCCAGTACTCTTCCTCAGGAATAATGGTCAAAAATTAAATATTTCCCCTAATTTGATGGCTATTTACTGTCATCATTTTCATTTCAATTGATAGACAGTTTCTTATTAATCACTCATTACCAAGAAATGACCACTGAAACCATAAAAAAGCCCCTTGAAAATGTCTCATAATTGTAATTTTAAGCCAAACCCGGAGTCAGATGTTTACTGTTCCCGTCATGCACTGCATAAAGTATATTTTTTTATACTGTGCATGACCATCACACAAACACATTCTCTCATACCTAGGCCAAAATTTACAGCACATTTGAGGGCATTATGATTGAGATGAAGATCAGTGTAAGTGACACTGGCCTCACTGATGCAGATGTGCCTAGTAGACAGTGAAAGGATTAAGAAGTGCTAGTGTGGTGAATAAGTGAAGCAAACTAGCACTTCGTAAGCCTGTATATTATTTACAGTTCCATGGGTAAATATTATCTGGTCTTGGAGGCTGGAAATCAATAAAACCAGACAAGAGGTTGGACAGCAAGGATGGATAATCCCCAAAACAGGTCATAAGTCAGGTTCAATAATTACTTTTCTTTAAAACATTATATGACTGTGAGAAACTCTGATTAGAAAATGTATGTGCCATGTATGTATTGAAGAAACCGACCAGGTCATCCTGCAGCAGTTTTAAATTAGCCGAGATGTTTTATTAGAGAATGTCAAACTTTGTTAATTATTTTTTATCTTTCTGCAGGTTGTCCTTTCACCAGAAGAATCACCTCAGCAGTGCCAAGACCCGGTGCTATAAAGCTCATGTATATAACAGAATTCCTGCAGAAAAAGTGTCAGCAGCTAGTGTTATAAAACTTGTCAGTGTGTCAATACACAGTATCTTAAAGGTCACCTCAGCTCCCTGGTACTACATATATACTCAGCATCCTGGCTCAGTCATGCAGACTTGCGATCTTGGCTGCTAAATGCACATACTCTGCATCCTGTGAATGTAACTCCACTAATGGAAATATTGTGCAACATGTTACATATTACTGTAACATTGTATTCATATGAAATGCAGTGCATGCATTATTTACATCTAGTGCACTAAAGTTCATATTACTTAATAAAGAAGTTAATATTTTAAATTGAAATGTAATTTTCTAATACTTGACTTAAAATGCATTGTGTGTGTACTCCAAATGTTTAATATTTACCATTGATTATTTCTGGATAATTAATTGTGTTTTCAACAATGTGTATAGATTTTCTGCCTGAACATATTACATACTCTGCTTCATATTATTTCCACACAATCAGGTACTAGCATTCATATAAAAAATTAGTTTTGTCATATATTCTGTGAATAATATGACTTTTTATCCATCACTATCCATCACCTCAATTACTGGGAGCGCTTAAAGTTCCTGAACTTGTATTCCCTGGAATGCAGGCGGGAGAGATACATGATTATATACACCTGGAAAATCCTAGAGGGACTAGTACCGAACTTGCACACGAAAATCACTCACAACGAAAGCAAAAGACTTGGCAGACGATGCACCATCCCCCCAATGAAAAGCAGGGGTGTCACTAGCACGTTAAGAGACCATACAATAAGTGTCAGGGGCCCGAGACTGTTCAACTGCCTCCCAGCACACATAAGGGGGATTACCAACAGACCCCTGGCAGTCTTCAAGCTGGCACTGGACAAGCACCTAAAGTCTGTACCTGACCAGCCGGGCTGTGGCTCGTACGTTGGATTGCGTGCAACCAGCAGTAACAGCCTGGTTGACCAGGCTCTGATCCACCAGGAGGCCTGGTCACAGACCAGGCCACGGGGGCATTGACCCCCAGAACTCTCTCCAGGTAAACTCCAGTGAGGGTAAACACTCATGTGTTCCATGTTGTATACTGTCATTCATAGTAAAAATGTCAACACTTTTTTTTTTGGTGACAAACTAATTAGTATAATTATCTTCATTGATTTGTGAAGAGGAACGATGAATATAACAAAGGCAAGCATGTAATTGCCTTAGAAAATAATTTACAGACATCAGTCCGGAACCCACTGTCAAATAAGATTCAAAATCTCATGGCTTTATGTATGTGTATCCATGCTTAATGACCTTCCCCTCTTTCCAGATTTTACTGTATCTACATGGTAAGATCAACTCAAAAGGAAACACATTCACCGTCACTCAATATTACTCTTGCCAGAAGTGCGTGTAGATCACATTTCAAATAACCCTCTGAAACGAAACATAACTGCAAGTTTTTATACTTTTGATCTAATGATACTAAAAATTAAAGTGTAAAGGGTGTAACTGTTTACTTATATTTAGTTTTTTAGTTTTTTATTTGGACATGATACATAGTTGTTCAAGGAAATATAGTGGTTGAGTGTACATGCCAAAACCCCTTGTATGCAGAACATTATGGGCAGGCTTAAAATTAACTTAAGATTAACTAAGCAATGATATATTCAGTATATATTGCTATGCTAAACTTCCATAAATATTCCACACAAAAAGGATTTTGCTTCATTCAGAAATTCATTAGTAATAACTTTCTTACTACAGTTCAATATATCTTAGAAAATTTGAATTTAAACACAAAAAGTCAGACCACATTTGTGTCTTGATTCTGTTTTCTTTACAATTACATCTCCTTGCATAAGAGATCTTACATGAGAACATATGTTTCACTGCTCAAAAATTGCACCACAAAAATCATCTACAATGGATTGTCTGAACGATAAATCAAGCAAAAGCCTCCTTAAGGCTCAAGAATGTAGAATAGTCTTTAAGACAAAATCATCTCAAGTAAAACGGATAAGAGTTCATACAGAAGTGAAACCACATCGGTGTTCAATGTGTCTAAATGACTGTACAGAAAAATCACATCAACCGGAACCCCCAGGAGTTCATGTAGAAAAAAACTTGTTGAAATCACACCAGTGTTTATTGTGCTCAGAGAAATTTACAAAAAAGACTGATTTGCAAAAGCACTGGAAAATTCATACGGGAGAGAAACCATATACTTGTTCAAAATGTCAAAAAGTGTTTTATAACCAGGGTAGTCTAATACGACATCTAAGGAATCATCGTGAAGAAAATCCCTTTCAGTGTATAGTGTGCTTAAAAGACTTTTCAAGTAAACAAGTTCTACAACAACACATGGGAATTCATACAGGAGATAAGCCATACAGGTGTTTATTGTGCAACACTAAATTCATTAAAAAGTCACGTTTTAAACAGCACCTAAGAGCCCATGCAGAAGGGAAGTTTTATCAGTGTTCTATTTGTTCAAAATCGTTTTCAGAAAAATCACATTTAGATCGACACTTAGTGGTTCATAATGGAGGAAAACCATATAACTGTGCAGTGTGTTCTAAAGGTTTTTTAAGTAAAACAAAGCTAACAAGACACACAAGAACTCATACAGGAGAAAAACCTTTTCAGTGCTCAGTGTGTCAGAGAAGTTTTTCAGATAAAGCAGTTCTTGGACGACACATGGTAATTCATTCTGATGAGAAATATCAGTGTTCGGTGTGTTCAAAAGATTTCTCACAAAAGTCACTTCTTGATCAGCACCTGCGAATCCACACAGGAGAGAGACCATTTCATTGTTCTTTCTGTCCAGAACGTTTTATAAATAAAGCAAGGCTATTAAGACATGTGAGACACCATACAGGAGAAAAACCGTTTCAGTGTTCATTATGTCAAAAAGACTTTGCAGAAAAATCAAGTCAAATACGACACATGAGGGTTCATACAGGAGAAAAACCATACGAGTGTTCAGTGTGTTTTAAAAAATGTTCTCAGAAAATACATCTAGACCAGCATTTAAAAGTTCATAGAAAAAAAACATACAACTGTTCAATGTGTGTAAAAGGCTTCTTACGTTTAGAAAATCTTAAACAACATATTAAATGCCATACAGGAGAAAAGTCATACCAGTGTTCAGTTTGTCTAAAGGACCTGTCGGATAGTACACATCTAATACAACACATGAAAATTCACGAAAGAAAGAAATATCAGTTTTCATCGCATTCAAAAAGAATTTCTCGGTTAGCTGATGCAAAACAGCACCTAAAAGTTCATTCACAAAGAAAAAGATATAAATGTTCGGTGTGTGTTAAAGGCTTCTTCAGTAACGCAAGTCTAATACGTCATAAGAAAAGTCATTTAGGAGAAAATGCACATCAGTGTTCAGTTTGTTTAAAAGACTTTTCAGATAAATCTAATCTAAAAGACCACATGAAAGTTCATGAAGAAGACAAATTATACAAATGTTCAGTGTGTCTGGAAGACTTTAAAGATAATTTGACTCTTGAACAACACACTACAGTGCATAGAGAAGAGAAACTTGAGGAGAGTTCAGCACAGGAAGGAAATTTTCGAGTTCAAGAGGAAGATGGTACAGTTTACACAGAAGATACAATATATCAGTGTACAGCATGTCAGAATGAATTTAGAGATAAAAAAGATGTCATACAACACATGAAAGTTCATAGAGCAGAAAAACTTGAGGAGAATTCTGTGGGTGTAGGAGATGTAAATGGTAAAAAAGATGAAGTTACAGCTCCTGCAGAAGAGAGATCATGCCAGTTTTCAGTGTCAATGCAAAACTTATCAGATGAAAAAATTCTTTTAAAACACTCAAAAGATGATGGAGAAGAGAAACACGATATTACCATTGTAGATGAACACAAGCCTGTTCACGTGGAAAATTTGTTACATCAGTCTTCAGTGTGTCAGAAAAAGTTTTCTGATAAAGAAATCAAGCAACAATTGAAATTTCATGAAGAAAAAAGTCTTGAAGAAAGTTCAGTGTGTGTTGATTCTAATGGCATAGAGAAACTTGAAGTTCATACAGAAGATTTAATTTATCAGTGTTCAGTATGTTTCACAGAGTTCACAGATGAAAAAATGATCATGGAACACATGAAAGTTCATGGAGAAGTAAATTGTGAGGAGAGTTCAGCATGTGTAGGAGAATCTGAAGATAAAAAGGAATATTCTAGACCTCAAACACATGTATTATATCAGTGTTCAATTTGTCAGGAAGAATTTACAGATCAGAAAATTGTCTTACAACATATGTTAGTTCATACACCAGAGAAACCTTTTAAGTGTTCAGTGTGCCTTGAACAGTTTACAGACAAAGACATTTTTGAACAACACTTGAAAGGTCATATAGGAGAAAAACCAAATAATTGTTCATTGTGTGCAAAAGATTTTTTAACTAAAGGATACGTAAAACGGCACATGAGAGTTCACACAGGAGAAAAGCCATATCAGTGTGCAGTGTGTCTAAAACACTTTACAGACAAAGCAGTTGTAATACGACACATGAGAATTCATACAGGAGAAAAACCATATCAGTGTTCAGTGTGTCTGAAAGGTTTTACACAAAATTCACATCTAAAATACCACATGAAAAGTCATCCAGGAGAAAAGGTAGAGAAAACACACAGATGTTTAGTGTGTCACAAAAGAATTAATCTAGAAAATTTAGAACAGCACTTAACAGTTCATATAGGAGATAAACTGTATAACTGTCCACTTTGTCAAAAAGGCTTTGCAAGTAATGCCAGTCTTATTAGACATAGAAAAGTTCACACAGGAGAGAAATCACATCAGTGTTCAGTGTGTTTTAAATCTTTTTCAAGAAACTCACATCTTCAACAACATTACAAAATTCATACTGGAGAGAAACCATATGAGTGTTCAGAATGTTCAAGAAGATTTATACGAAAAGTACAGCTTGAACAACACTTGAGAGTTCACACAGGAGAGAAGCCATATAACTGTTCAGAATGTTTAAGAAACTTTAGATCAAATGTTAGTCTTAAAAAACACATGAAAACTCATCAGAGAGAGGAATCATATTTGTGTTAAGTGTGTTCACAAAGTTTTTTTTACAACTCTCAGGTCTAGAGTATTATAATCATAACTAAACACTAAACCCATATAGGTCATACAGCACTGGTATCAGGTCTAGAGTAAACTTAAGCATTCTTAAAATAGATGAACCTTACACCTGTTCAGTGTCCGAGGTTTTTCAGTATTGACACATGAGAATGAATGCTTGTAAGAAAAAAAACATAATTGTGTTCAGTAAGGCAACCAGTGCTAAATACCCAATAATATTCAAATCTCTTCAGATTTGTTATTAAAATTCTAGGTCAAGAATTATGGCCTAGGTCATTTTGAGGTCATAGAAAAGGAACATTTCATTGAAAGATAATACCTTTGATAATGATTATCATGTATGTGCTTGAAATCGGCAGAGTTTCCAGTGATACGTTTTATTTCTTTTGGTTAAAATTTGAGCATTTAACCTCGATTTATTCTAGAGGTCACTCCATGACCTCCAGAGTATGTGACACAGAATTGTTTAAAAAGACTTTTGTGTTTGCTACAAAAAACAATAAAAAAATTGTTTAGGCATGTTTTTATTATAGCAAGATCCCAAATTAATCTCATAAACTCTTAGTACGGTACAAGATTTCTAGGAAATAATATGTATATTATACCTGAGATGGCAAGACTTAGTATAGCATTACCTACAAATATTATGTTATGCATATTATACCCCCAGATGGCAGGACTTGGTACAACATTACTGTGAACATTGTCACATATATTATACCCCAGATGTTGGGACCTTTTTTGCCCAGTCAGGTACTACAGTGTTTGTTGTCATGGCTGCACCTGGTGGGCTTCACCTCCCTTCAAAATGGCCATGACATGTCAAAAACCAGACCAAACTCTGTCCTGTTCTTTGTAGGCCCTGCATAAATCAATTGGCTAATCTAGCATTGCAGTTCCTTGTATGGTAGGGTAATGTATTCAGGTAGGGCCAGGCAAGCTTCAGTGAGTAGGCACCACTGTTATCCTATGACTATCAGTGTTGATATTTGTGTATACCTCTCTGTTAGCTCTGGGGTCACTTTTTTAGTAAACAGTTAAACCTCTCCTTGTTGGGCTTGGTAGTGGGTGGGGAAATAGAGCTGGGTGGTAATTACTAATATTGTATGAATAATAATCTCCCTACACACACTTGTTGACCCTTGCATGCTCATGGATTCTCCTCAAAACCTGGCATTGCTTTCAGGCAGACCTTTTGGTTTCTCACCACAGTACCTCAAACATTCCTCTGTATTTGCCTTGCTCCCATTATTGTTTCATAATGCAGGCTGTTTTTGGGTTTTCTCATCACAGGATAGAATGACTAACAATCATTGTCCAAATGATTTCAACATATGCTAGATGATCCTGACTGTAACTTGACACAATTCACTCTTGTCCAAACAAACATGCTACCTGGAAACCTTATTCCCTCCAAGACTTATTTCAAAGATAATCTTAAACAAAATACTTTTCACTCCAGTTGACAACCCTTACTCATTACCTTTCTGACCATAGTATTGACAAAGTACTCATGAAACATGTTGTCACTATGCTTCTTTTCATACACTCAAGAGTGAGATGTGTATTGTTGACATAGAACAGACTGCCCTTTTCCAAATCCACCTATCACAGTACCCACACATTCCTTCCTCAGTTCAAACTAAGGTACTGTTCTCATCCTCCACATACTAATACAGCAACATTCAGGAGCCACTTGTGCTCAAATCTTCCTATCACCCAAGTCAAAACTTATGAGAGTGAACCCCTCAAGGGAGCTTCCTTGATGCTGGTGAGGGGCTCTTGATCTAGGGAATTGGATCTGTGCTGCTGTTCCCTGAATTGAGCCTGAATACCTTCCATTCCCCCCACATGCGCTGTATAATCCTATGGGTTTAGCGCTCCCCCATGATTATAATACTATGAGAGTCAAATCCAGACTCAAAGGAAAAGGGCCTATCATATGCTGTGGCATTAGCACTTCTTTTTTATTATAATAATAATAATATGCTGTGACAGGGACTGAGCTCCATATCCATGGAAGGCTTCCATGGCAGTCTCCAGAGCTACTTATCACCCACAGGACCTTGTTGTACCTTTTGCAAGTCACCCTACATGTTCAACCCTTATGAAGTCCTTTCTTCTCAGGTTTTTATCTCTTCACCTCCCATTCTTACTACTAATCCTCTTCCATTTCACCATCTGGGCTTTAAGCTCTTCCTCTGAAACCTCAAAGACTTAAAACTCCACCAGTTGCTGAAACTCCATACTGTTCTATTTTTCATGCTGAACTCTCCCTGCTTCTTCTTTACTCTGGCTGCATCTGTGACAATTGTGGAAATACACAGATAACCTGCACACAGGAGAGCAAAGATTTTGATGCCACTTGACTATGGAAGCCATTGAGGGCCATATCAGCTCTTATTGAAGAAACAAGACCCATGATAGGCATCAACCCACCCTCCTTACTTTTGCATTCTTGCCCTCCTTAACTGTTTACACCCAATCCTGTCCTACATTTTCTGTCTATTTAATAGATACATTTAGTATAATGTGATCCTTTATTGACAGTGTTTTGCAAACACAGTGAGCTTCATCAAGTCACAAACACATCTACTAGGGGAAAGGATGTGTGTTATATATGAAATACTATCAAAAAGTTTCTAAACTGCAGCAAAAAAAATGTACAGGCTTACCTAATTACCTCATTGAAGTTGTCTCCCTCTTAAGTACTTTCCTTGGGAGGCTATACTCTGATCCCAGCACCTCTGCCACTTCTCAAAACATTAATGGAACTCTTTTGTGACTGCATCTAGCATGGCCTTTGATTCAGCTTGAATCTTAACATTGTTCAAATGCTGTCCCTCGAGGGAGGCCAGAAAACGATGGTCTTTCCGGTCTTAGAGTCAACAAGTGGGACAGATTTCACAGCCACTCACCTCAAGTTCAAATTCAGTCAAAATGCTTTGACATGACCCTTAAGAAATTTCCTCAGTACTTGCACTGTTCTGGATATTTTGATGATGATCTTTTGTGAATAACCTTCCTCACTTTTTCATTGTTGGCATCTGTTTTTGATGTTGATGGATGACCAGAGTTTTCATCCTCAACTGATGTTTGTCCTGCTTTGAATCAAGAAAACCATTCAAAACACTATGTCCAACCCATTACTCATTGCCAAACCACGCACGCATGTGCACACATAGAGGGAAGGGGCTTCTAAAGGAAGTGGTTTCCCATGGCCTGGTAGGCAACGCTCTCGTATCACATAGTGTACATGGTTTGATCCCCAGCATGGGTGGAAACATTAGGTGTGTTCCCTTACACCTGTTGTCCTGTTCCCTTAACAAGCAAGTAGGTACCTGGGTGTTAGTCAACTGGTGTGGGTCACATCTGAGGGACAAGATTTAAGAACCCCAATGGAAATAAGACAGACAGTCCTCAATGACGCACTGGCTTTCTTGGGTTATCCTGGGCGGCTAACCCTCCAGAGTTAAAAATTCAAAAAAAAAACAATCTTAGCTTAAGAATAATAATAATAATACTTTAGCATAATACAGTGTTTGTAGAAAGGTGAATGACATTTAGGTGTACATGCAGACAGCCCCTTAATATGCAGAGCATTTCAGGAAAATTTAAGACTAACTTGAGATTAATAAGGCAATAACAATTTGAGTGATTTTATACATAGTCACTTGGATAAATGCAAATATAAATTTAGGAGTTATAATAAATACAAGAGAATTGAATATCCTATTAGTTCATGCTATATGGCTTTTATGAAGTTTAATTGTTTAAACAATTACAGATTTGATTATGATTACAGGTGATGGGGATTTTAGCATAGTATCATAAAGGGAACATAGTCAATGTTTTAATGTTTGGGAGGATTACAGTTATTGAGAATAAGAGCACATATATTGTTTTACATATGTTCATGACATTGGGAATATGGACATGTGGTTTTCACATATTTAGCTGATGCTGGGATATGTTACAGGAAAGGCGTTGTTTTTTAACAGTAGTTTTGAAAATGCTGGCTTGGAGATTTCGACGAAAAGTTCCAGATTTGTAGAGAGTTAGCTGGACATAGGGAATGTTATACATATTTCTGTGCCTATTACAGTAGACTCTCGACCAACGATGGCATCGTATAACGTTAAATCTGACTAGCGATATATTTTAACGCAAAAATTTTGCCTCGACTAGCGCTAAAAAACTCGACCAATGGGATTCGTTCCATTCGAGACGCGTCCACGTGTGGCCTGAGAGCACCTCACTTGTCCCGTAGGTGCCAGCGTTTACAAGCCAGCCACCACGGTCGCATCCAAACATACAATCGGAACATTTCATATTATCACAGCGTTTTTAGTGATTGCACCTGCAAAATAAGTCACCATGGGCCCCAAGAAAGCTTCTAGTGCCAACCCTGTGATAAAAAAGGGTGAGAATTAGTATGGAAATTAAGAAAGATTTTGAAGGGTTTGGGGCTAACCCTGAGATGCCTATGCCAGTTGTGGAATCCATTGTGCCTACTTCAAAGATTAAGGAAATGTGTGCAAAGTGGGTTGAACTGCAAACCTTTATGGATGAAAATCACCCTAACACAGCTATTGCAAGCCATGCTGGTGACTATTACAATGACAATGTTATGGCCCATTTTAGACAAATCTTAAAGGAACGGGAGGTACAGAGCTCTATGGACAGATATGTTGTGCGACAGTGGTCCAGTGACTCTCAAGCTGATCCTAGTGGCATTAAAAGAAGAAGGGAAGTAACCCCGGAAAAGGACTTTACACCTTAAGTCCTAATGGAAGGGGATTTCCCTTCTAAATGCTAACACCATCCACACACTCCCCTCCTCCCATCCCATCAGTCATCACCAGATCTTCAATAAAGGTAAGTGTCATGTAATTGTACATGTCTTCTTCAGTTTGTGTGTATTAAAATTAATATTTCATGTGGTAAAATTTTTTTTTTCAATACTTTGGGGTGTCAGGAACGGATTAATTTGATTTCTATTATTTCTTATGGGGAAAATTAACTCAACTAACGATAGTTTCGACTAATGATGAGCTCTCAGGAATGGATTAATATCGTTGGTCGAGGGTCCACTGTATTATGACTATGGGTCCTGTTGCAACTATCAAGAAAGTGCTGCAGGTCGGGATTAATACAGTGGGCCCCCGGTTTACGATCAGCTCCCAGTGCGACCAATTATGTAAGTGTATTTATGTAAGTGCATTTGTATGTGTATGTTTGGGGGTCTGAAATGGACTAATCTAATTCACAATATTCCTTATGGGAACAAATTCGGTCAGTACTGGCACCTGAACATACTTCTGGAATGAAATAATATCATAAACTGGGGGTCCACTGTATTAGAATTTATTGTTTTGTAAACATAGGATGTACAGTAGTAAGAGTGAATATTTTGTACAGTAATTAGATTTAGGTCTTTAACCCTTTCAGGGTTGGCAGGCCCTCTCCTAAACTTGTTCTCAGGGTCGGAAATTTTTCAAAAAAAAATATTTTT